GAGAGCCAAGCCTCTGATGTGCCTGGGCCGAGGAACTGGGAAGCTGGCGTTTGGGGAGCCCCTTGAGAACAGGGCAAAGGGGCCGAGGGGATTGGAGAAGGTAGATGAGCTTCTGATTTGCTCCTGTTGGAGGGGAGGGAATGGGCGAGTAGGGCTGGGGTAGCCCCTCTGACTGAGTCTGTGTGGGGACCAGCTTACAGTGAAGGGTCCTCAGTCTAACTAAGGCCAGCACCTTCTAGGGTAAGGAGAAAGCAGAGGCGGGGGAGCCTCTACTCAAACCAATTATTGCAATTATTATTATAACGAACCAATTGATTATGATTGATCATAATACCCAACACTGACTGAGGTGCCACCACGTGCCAGCACTGGGCTAAGCTTGCCACGCGTGTTAATATCCTTGTGAGGGAGGGACTAACATTATAAACATTATACCCCTTCTGTGGATGAGAAAACCAGCTCTCGCAGTCACATAGCCAGTGAGTTGTTGATCCCCAGAGCCTGCCACATAAAGGGCTTTGAGCAGGGCTTAGCATGGGGACTTCAGGTTGTCATCTGTGTTATTACTCTTTCTAGCTGTCCTTCAGTAAACTGAGGGCAGACCATGGCCCCAGGGACCAGTCCTGTCCCAGTGAGCCTGGGGCCCAGGGGTTCAGACACTTCAGTGATGGAGGAGGGGTGGCAGGGGCGGCAGGGCTGGGCCAGGAGGGCTGTCTTCCCAGTCACACGTTTCTGGCAGAAGGGCGGCTGTACAGAGAAGTGGGTTGGCCCCCGAGGACCAAGGGCTGGAGGTGGGGCTGGCATTGTTGGCCCACTGGTCCAGAATCAAGGACTCACAGTAGTTGTAGGGATCCACGAAATGCTTAAATTTTGACTGCTTTTAAAATCAGAAGAAAAAAATGAATATAATCGTAATGAAGACATAAGAATGAATCTAGACTGGATTATATTTGTCTTTATACCATCACAGTCATCAAATGAAATTGTTAATATTTCTTTTATGGAGGACTGAGCCCATGAAGGCAAAAGCACCTGGGGACCATGAAAGTCATCATGTGACCTTGCTAGGAGCCACAGATTTTTTCCATCTCTTAGGACTGAGTAAGACAAGTCCAGCCTAGCGCCACCCCTCCCCAGTCCTGTGACTTCAGCAAAGAGGTGCTAGAGAGGACAGGTGCTCCCTGAATCACAGTCCCTTCCCCCGGAGACCAGAGTCCTATATCCCAGAAGGGCTGTGAGGGCAGGCTGGAAGATGTCTGCTCTTCCCGAGTTCTTCTGAAAAATGAGGCTGATCTACTTAGGAGAAAAAGAAAGTCTAGGGAGAATTCCATGTGTATTTCCAGGGACTAATCAGACCTCGTGGAGGAGTCAGCAAGAGTCTGTTTTGTTAAGTAACAAGAAATAGAAGTTTTGCAATAAAACAAAAAATGACTCTGGATGAGGTAGCTTGTTGGAATCTAGGAAGCTAGAACCTTATCTTTTATGTAATCTTGGCATATTTGGTTTCATAATAAAACATATATTTAACCGTACAGTACATCACTATTAATTTTGTAATTAATTTTTAAAACTTCAATCATATTTTATATACTACTTTATTACATTTACATATGTAATGTGTGATTTGGAGATTTTTGTTTTAATTTCTTTTTTAAAAATGCAGAATATTCTAAACTTGAAAGACAATTGAATGTAATATGATGGATCTGTAAACATTTTACTGCTTTTGTGACCAAAAATACAAGATCAGTGGACGTTTTGAATAGGAATTAAAGTTAGAATTGTACTGTTTTTCTTTGAAGGAGTTCTAACCTTGCGATTCGAGAATGAATTCAGAGAATTTTGATTGAGAAGCATTAGGGTCTTAACCATTAGGAACACTTAAAAATTTTTCAGGAGCTGTTTGCAGAGCGAGGTGTGAGTCAGAGAGCAAGCCTGTGAGGTGGACACCACTGCTGTGTTTTGGACAGAAATTTGGGGACCTGCAGGCCTGGTGCCCGAGGGGCGAAGTGTACAAATCTCTGTCTGTGCTGCACATATCAATGGGGCTACCAAAGTCTTCTGGAACCAAGCGGTGAGGCAGGCAAAGTGCTGCACCCCTGGGCGGGTCCCCAGCCCCATGAAGCATGAAGCACGTGAGTTTCCGGAAGGCACATTTGCAGTCGCCTGCCTCACAGCCTGGTCTGACGGTGTCGTCTGTGAGGGAAAGTTAGCTGGGGAGCCCATTGTGTGCCTTTTCACTGGCTGCCAGGAAGCTTGGATCTAAGTTTTCTGTTCTGTCACAGCAGCTTCCCCCAAGCTGTGGTCTTAAATTCTTTCCCTGTCAACCCTTCGCTTAACTCCTTGGCTTTTTCTTGGCACTCAGTCTTGGTGCAGTGATTTGTAACTTCTTACTGTAAACTGCCACATAGCATTATACGATGAGTTTTCTGAGACCT